GTTTGTGTACTCAGACCAGTAATATTTGGGGTCACAAGTTTTTGCCATGGATATTTTGTGGGTCAGAAGACAAAAAGTTTGGGAACCACTGCTCTAGATTACTGAAATCTTTTGACAGTAATATGAATGATGGGATAATGAGTCTTCCAGTTTGCCAGAAAAAAGCATTTTTTATAAATCAGTTGTAAAAGGCTCCTCCAGCTGTTTCTTCTTCATAGCCCCTTTTTTACAGCAGTTTCCTCTGTCCCAAAATACAAAATACCAATTTTTCCCAAAAGTGAACAATTTCCTACAGCTGAAATGTTGACTATGTTCCTTTGTGAATAAATGATAGGTGTATAAGAATTGCAGATCATTACATTTGACACAAAAGTGCTCGATTTAATGATTTGCAATTCTTCTAAACCTATTATTGATACAGAATGAGTTATATATTTATAATGTAGATACTTTTTTACTCTTCGCAGCCATGCAAAAGCTGTGTAATATATCATCATGTTTGCTTGAAACCACAGTGAGCCTGTAATCTGAAGTAAGTGTGCTTGTTTGTAGGTTATAGGTCTGGACTTTGTCCTTGGTAATGATGAAATGTGGCCCCTGTTGCTTGGTCTATCTGGAGCTCCTGCAGTGCTACAGTCCCTCCTGCTGCCTCTGTGTCCGGAGAGCCCACGCTACCTTTACATTCTGCTGGGCCAAGAGCAAGAAGCCCGCAAAAGTGAGAATTAAACTCATGCAACACAGTCACATTCCCCCGAATGTCACTTTCCTCAGTACTATTAAAGAAACAAACTTAGATACAGTGTTTTTCTTAAGATGGAGCAAGATTATTAATTTGTAACTTGTTTTATTTGGGTATAAAACAACAACAACATTGTTTCTAATTATCTCTGTACACAAACTGTAAATCATTTTTCTGGATTTTGCCTCATCTGCTGGATTTTCCTGCAGGTCTGCATCGGCTGAAGGGAGCAACAGATCTAACTTCTGATTTGGAAGAGATGAGAAGAGAGAAGCAGGAGGCCGACCGGGAGGCAAGGGTTTCCATACGATCTTTGGTAGGTCTCTAATCCCAAGAAGCAAGTTCAGCTGTACATATGAGCCTTTTGGGTTTTAGGATGAAATAAAAGCAGCACAGAAAACAGACAAAGTACAGAAACACACCTTCTAAGATTACTCAACTTCTAAAGTACACTCGTAATTCTTTTATGAGTCATAAATCTTTAGTTGATTTAGAGATATAAAAAATCATAAGGAAATAAATACAGAAAATTAAGGATGAAGCATTTGTATACACGCAAAAGATCACATAAATATCAAACTCTGCAAACATCTTGAATAACATCTACTTCTATAAACTGACTAACTGGTATTTTATGTCTTCTCTGTTTGCTTTCCTGAATAAACAGCAATGAATTTCCCTGTTTTATTGTGAAACGTTATTGTTTCACAGCCATGATAACATCGCGGCCCCACTCTTCTTTTCCGCCACAACTGTGATCAGTCGGCTGAATTACGGAGAATGCAACGGGACTTTGGGGATATTCTTCCCTTTAGCATTCCCATGGATACTTTTTGCGTTCCCAGGCGAAAGTTCTGCGTTACCTCGTTGTGCCTTTCTGCTTCATCAGTAAACTCACACGTGCACTGTTTTACTGTTGCATAAACATGTCGCAGCCACGTATGGAGTTACATATTAATTATGTAGATACTGTATTTACGCAACATCTGGGTATCAACTGAGAGGTTACAGCCCACGAAGACTGTGGCCCACGAAGACTGTGGCCCACGAAAACTGTGGCCCACGAAGACTGTGGCCCACGAAGACTGTGGCCCACGAAGACTGTGGCCCACGAAGACTGTGGCCCACGAAGACTGTGGCCCA